AAAAGTCCTAAAGTCAAATTTTATCAATTGGCAGCCGAGTCAAAACCTTTGCCCATTGGAAGTTGGAACCTCGAGGCATCAATGCTTCTTGGGCGTTACTTGCCAAGAAGAATGTAGGCTAATGTGTGCTTATAATGTGTGGCTTATGTCGCCATAATTTTGACTGGCCTAGCCCTTTAAAAAGCGATCAAACCTCATCCACACAAATTAATAAGGTAAATTACTCAAACATATACTCGATTTATATTTTGATCTCTCAATTAAATTATTCGTTCAAATGGTCCATCAATTCTATATTATTCGTTCCATTGGTCATACCGTTACATTCTGTTAATATTTCTGTTAAATATGAGGGCAAATTGGTCATTATTTACCCTAAAATTAGGTTAAATCTAACAGAAAATTAGACGGTAAGACCACTGGAGCGAATAATAAAGAATTGGTTGGCCATTTGAACGAATAATTTAGTTGAGGGACCAAAATGTAAATCAAGTATAAGTTTGAGGACCATTTGAGTAATTTACCCAAAAATCAAAGCAAAAGCAAATCAACTAGTTGGATTAACACTGACTGATCCATCATCCATACGGCGAAAAACATTTGGACATAAAACATTCCCATATGGGCTTTGGAAACGTCTGCCGGACTAACCCATTGGATTGTTAACGTTGAAATGGGTTGACTGGAAGCTAAATTCAATTCTTATGTCGTTGGGGATGGGATGGCATGGCCCATGAGAAGTGGGAACTGGGAAAGATGACATCACACAAATGACAAAGAATCTGATTACAAAGATGCATGATGCATCCACTGAAACTATCTTACTATTTAAGTTTAACAAATCAAGTAACTCCTGTTATGTTGATGAGCAACTAGAACATTACTTGAAGAGTTAGTTTTAGATTAACTTCAACCTCAATGGTTAAAAACTTAGGCTAAAGCCATGTTTTCCTTAAACAAATCGATTAAGAAAGCCCCCACTGAACTCTTTGGTGCACCAAATAATCGCCATTTTCATTTCTTGATTAGTAATTTAGTGAGTGACTAGAGAGAGAGACGACCAAATTGAACACTTGAAAAAAACCAATTCTGTCCGTACAATGCAATTTACGACCTTGACCAAAGGCCAACTGCGAAATTATTATTTATATGTTACTTGTTTCCAGATAAGAAAAAAATAAAGCAATTATAATTTTTAGATCCAATCATCCAATTCCAAGGTATCTCAGCGCGTGCAAAGAAGCAAGCAAGCTTCAGAACAACACGTGGGTAAATAGTAGATATATACCAATCCATCCACTCAAATAAAGAGCAACCTGCTTTGTCCCCTACGTGGGACCAGACCACAGACACTTAATTTATACAAGAAAGCTATAACGGTAGAGGGAGAGAGCAGAGCACCGTAGGTAGTTTAATCTTTGATCTTTCCACTGTCCTTTTTCCTCGGCGGAGAGAAAGAGAGAGATATTGGGGTTTGAGTTTGATTGATATATCAATGGGGAGCATCTGCATCTCCTCTGAAGATGAGTTGAGTCAGAGGTTCGAGAGCTACAGCTTGAGTGCAGACGTCAGTGAGTCCGAAAGCTCCACCAGTGACTTTTCTTGTCGGCACGAAGCTCCTGCTGCTGCTTCCACTTCTTTGACTTCTTCCCCTCCATCCGGACCCAACTTCGCTGACATTTTTGTTTGTCAGCAACAGCCGCCTATACCCTTTTTGTTTCCGGCGGTCGGTGGACGACATGTCGTCATTCCGGCGACCAAGGCTGAGAAACCTGAGACCAAGTTGTCCGGTCAGTGTGCTTTACTTTGGAAATCTTTGCAATTCTTTAAAGTTACAATTGTAATGCAAAATTTGACCCTTTCCGGTTCTTATTAATTTATATGCGAGTAGGCAACATTTTAAGGCTTGGAACTTGTATGATTGTCTCTTTTTTCGCTCCAATTGGGGCAAAAAACGTATGAAATTTTGCTATTCTTTCCACACATTTCTGTTACTTAGAGTGCAGCTGCGGAATTTGACATTAAATGGATTATATTTGTGTTATCTGCAGAAGCTGAATTGATGAAGGAGCGGTTTGCAAAGCTTCTGCTTGGAGAAGACATGTCAGGTGGAGGCAAGGGAGTCTGTACGGCTCTTGCTATTTCCAATGCCATCACAAATCTCTCCGGTTTGTACAAATTCTTGTCTTCTTGGGTTTTCCGTTACTCGTTTCCTTACAATTTTCCCCCAACCCCCGTCTTCTTGACTGATTGAATACAGAAGAAGCATAGTTATATTATAAAGAAACAGAACAGAGGAGTATAATCATTGTTTTATGTTTCTCCTTCAATTGTCCAATTAGTTTTATGTTTCTTTTCATTTGGCTTCTTTGTCAGCCACTGTGTTTGGGGAGTTGTGGAAGTTGGAGCCATTGGCACCCCAGAAGAAGGCAATGTGGTGCCGGGAGATGGATTGGCTTTTGTGTGTAAGTGATTCTATTGTTGAGCTCATACCATCAATACAAGAATTCCCTGGTGGTGGAACCTTCGAGGTTATGGTCACTCGGCCCCGCACTGATCTATATGTAAACCTGCCGGCACTCAAGAAACTAGATGCGATGCTGCTTAGCATTCTTGACGGATTCCATGATTCTCAGTTTTACTATGTTGACCGAGGTATAATTATTGCTGATTCTGATGATGGTGAAACAATTCCCCTGTCTTCCTCTTCCAATAGACCTTCAATCAGGCAAGAAGAGAAGTGGTGGCTCCCATTCCCTAAGGTTCCCCCAAATGGTCTCTCTGAGAATGCGAGGAAGACACTGCAACAGTGATCAATAGTAGTGTGCTGGCTGAAATGGAAATCCCTGACGCTTATTTGGAGAGTTTGCCCAAGGTAAGGAGGAAACTATTCCTTTATATCTATTCCTATGCATGATCAATCATGTTATGAATTTTAAGATCATGCACACACAGGATACACAGTGATAAATTTATTTTCTTGTTGCTTTTTCGAAAACAGTTCTATAATTAAGGTCTAGATTGTCAAGATATTAAAGTATGGTGTCATGTTTGCATTTCATATTCATATCTCTCACTTCCTTCTATTGCTCTTATTTCCTGCTGCACAATGACAAAGTATTTTGCTTTTAGTTATCCTTTCCAGTTACGGCCTAGGAATCACACGGCTAAGTCATGTTTGATTCTCTTTTCTCTGTTTATCTGATTTATTACCACAATATATGTTGACATCACTCTACCAATTTCCCCAGAGTGCGAAAGCTTGTTTAGGCGAAATCATTTACCGTTTTATAGCTGCTGATCGGTTCTCCCCAGAATGTCTTCTTGATTACTTGGACCTCTCATCAGAATACACCACTCTGGAAATAGCAAACCGGATTGAGGCTGCTGCGCACATTTGGAAGCAGAAACACCTGAAATGCCATCCAACTCTTGTGAATACTGGAAAGTCATCCTGGGGAGGAAAGGTCAAAGGCTTTGTCAGTGACACAGAAAAAAACAAGCTTCTAGCGCATCGGGCTGATACGCTCTTACAGAACCTAAGGATACGGTTCCCTGGCCTCCCGCAGACCGCTCTGGACATGAACAAGATTCAGTACAACAAGGTATAAGCCCAAAAAGATTCATCATCTTTGCTTGGAAAGAAAGAAAAGATAGTTGATCAGGTCAAGCACCATGCCTGCCGTTTCTAACATTTCATTTTGACAGTAAAAAATATGAACATAAATATTGAAACCATAGGATTGACTAATTTGGTACTCCAGATCCAGACTAGAGATTGTATGTCAAAAATGAGGAGTCTGAGTTTGAAGATGATGTATATCCACTCTAGTTTTGTTGAGCTTTTTACATGCTAATGAAATGAATGATATATTGCAGGATGTGGGGCAATCAGTCCTTGAGAGCTATTCTAGGGTGATGGAGAGCTTGGCGTTCAACATAATGGCAAGGATTGATGATCTGCTATATGTAGATGATGCCACGAAACAACGGGCAGCTTCAGAGTCTGTGTCTCTGTATGACCAGGGAAGGTTTGGTGGTGCTATGTCAAAACAGAAAAGGATATCACCCAGTCCATTCTCAGTTCACCATACTTCAATTGCATTACCAGCGTTGGATCATATCAATCAGACAACTAGAAGCCCTGGTAGAAGGACACATAAACCAATAAAGAAGACTAGTTTTAGTGACGCGTTGGATGACAAGTTAGAAAAATTAACTTTCTGATGATCTTGAAGTAACTAATGTTGGCCAACTTCTCTGTCACGGTATGTACTTTGTAGCTAATTAAAAGATGGTTTGCTCAACCACCTGATGGATGAGCAAGTTAAGGTATACATATGCTAAAATATGAATATGGTTTTTTTTATTCTTCTCCATAAGGAGATATATATAGGAGTTTACATGAGGGTCTTATAAGGAATTAGATATAGTAAAGAATTAGGAAAGTATTTCCTAATTGTATAATGATTTATCACTTATATAAAAAATAGGAAAGTAAATCCCTTAATTAATCAAGGAAGTAAATCTCCTTAATTAATTAGGAGACTCACGTCAACACTCCTCCTCAAGTTGATGCATATATGTCACCAATGCCCAACTTGGTAAGTGAGTCATGAAATATTTTTCCACAAACAGCTTTGGTTAAGATATCTACCAGTTGATCTTCTAATTTACAATAATTCACAAACTTCGTGAGCCATTTCTCGATACTCTACTTCTGCACTAGACCGAGAAATCGCATTTTGCTTTTTACTTCGCTAAGTGACTAGGTTACCTCCTACGAATGTAAAATAACATGAAGTAAAGCGTCTTTTTGTAATAGAACCAGCCCAATCAGCATCTGTGTATCCAACAACTTTAATATCTCTATTTTTTGAGAACATTAATCTTTTCCCATGAGCTGACTTTAAGTATTTTAAGATCCGATCAACTACATTCCTATGAGAAACACTGGGTGAATGTATGAACTGACTAACCACACTCACAGCATATGCAATATCTGGTCTTGGAGCACGTATGTGTTGAGACCCAAAAAAATACATGGTTAGGCCCGAATAAATTATCAGCCCAAAACGACGATCCATTAGGAAAAAGTGTAAAGCAGAGTGCACCGAAATCCACCACATGCAAATTGCAATTCACGTGCCACGCTAAATAAATAAATTCGCTCGAGGTTGAGATAAAATATACCAGGTGTACAGGCCCATGCAAAAATTAAATATCGCAGGACGATGAATTAAAGCATGCCAAGCGACATGCCATGCCAAGCATGAAATTGTTATCTCACACTCAACCACGCTACAAGCCTAAGTGGGCCCAAGCCACTCAGACACCGGGGCTTGCTTGAGTGGGTTGTGGTATGGACAGTAATAAATCAGCATGAGACCTATTGATGGGCCGAGAAATGGAAAGTCTCAGGTTGCTTGGGAGCCTCGAGACTCAAGCCCATTTCTTAGGCCCAAACATGTGGGTAAGCACAAGAGAGAAAAGTAGCCCAAAAGTCCAAGCAAAATAACTCAACCAAAAAATAAGCCCAATCAAGAGGCCCAATGTTCCACAAAAGGCCCATTTGCTTAGGAAACCACCTTGGCCCATATAAAATCCCAAAATAACCCACAAAAAGCCTCAGCTTTTTTGAAAAATAGAAAACACATGAAAGAGATTGGCAGACTCCTTAAGCAAAGCTGCTGAGAGCAAGTTCCAAGCTAGAGACGCCCAAAGAACTAAGGAATGCTGGCTTGCATGCTGTCAAAAGCACCCCTTAGACGAGCATATATTTTCACTTCCTTTCCTTCATCAGATTTAGCCAAGGCAGGGGGAAGGAAATAAGAAAAAACAGTAACCAAGAAGAGAAGCTCCCACTGCGCAGCTATGGGAAAGGGGGACATTGAGCTCCCAAATCTCCTGAATTTGTGCAAATAAACAGAGGCAATTTTTGCCAAGATAGGGAAGTCAGAGAAGAGGAGGAGAAATGAGGAAAAAGCTTAGCCAAAATAAGTAGAAGCCATTAGGGTTTCTTGAAGAATGGTGATTTCCAGCAGCTATAAATCGAGGCTTCCCCTACCCAACAGAGGCAACTCAAAATTCAGGGAGCAAACTTTCTCTCTAACTTGCTAAAATCTAACTACCTCGTGCACTGTTCACTTTCTTCTCCAATTTATTTTTTTGGCAGCTGCCAGAAGAACTTTGCTTTTCTTTTTCCTTTCAAAATTCCGCATAAAACACCTCATTCCTTACCTTAATACTTTCTTTTCTCATAAACTAAGCCTAATCTCTCTCTTAGTGCTAAACTTATGTTGGTTTTGCTCCCATGCCATATGTCACTCATGCTGAGCTAAAAGACTATCTGAAAGCATGCCAAAATCATCTGTAAGTCACCATTATTCTGATCGGTGAAGATAGCCAAAATATATCCTAAGATTTTGCTACTCTTTCGAGGTATTTTGGGGATTAATTTTCGAACCCAGGCAAAGGGGACAGTCTCCTCAGTCCGTTCTTTTATAACAGCCTAGCCCATTAGCTGCAGGAAGAAAAAGTCCCATACAGTATGAAAAGTAGAACCTTTGGTGGTGGTGATAGAAGCAGGAGTCCGGGTAGCCGGATAAGCAGGAGTGACCGCATGCTTCTGTGAGTCTGCAATAAGATGGAGAATCGTAGGGGTTCCTGACATTTCAGTGGAAGTAAGATGTGATATGAGAATTTGGGGACAAATATGAGGAATTTGATTTAGGGTTTTGGATTTGAATATGAGAAATTTGATATAAGGGCTTAGAGACAAAACAACTTCTCTTCACTCCCCCTCTCCCCTGAAGAGAATGGGTCATCAGAGTAAAGAGATATGCAGTATCTTCATGGGAATTCATCAAGGTAATGGGGATACGTCAATAAACATATCATTTTCACTCCCCCTCCCCCCTTTAAGAGGAAGGGAGGAGAACACTTAAATTTCAAGAAGAACGCAAGCACATGTCACAAGAGAACCAAGCTCTGATACCATGCTAAAATATGAATATGGTTTGAATGTATTAGGTTTTTTTTATTCTTCTCCATAAGGAGATATATATATATATATATATATATATATGAATTTACATGAGGGTCTTACAAGGAATTAGATATAGTAAAGAATGAAGAAAGTATTTCGCTCTATGATCCAATAACATAGCCACAGAATCCGATGCTGTTTGCATTGGTCCATACTCTAAACCTCGATTCTTTTTCTTCTTCTTCTTTTTGGTATAAACAATCTTTGTTCTTATTAAGAACATGTTAAATACATCTACTCTACTGGGGTCTGGATGAATAAGTTGAGTGTCCTGTAACTCGTGATCAAATGCAGACGCCTAGTGCCGAGTCCAATCTGAATTCCATAGATTCATTATCGACAATCAATGGCCCATCACCACTACAAGTTTCTGAACGCATGCATCACACACACTATTATGGGGTAGGCCCGCTCCAAATCTTAAATATCATGCCCAACAAAAGCAACCGCATTGACCTACAATTTTGACTTTTTTTGTCATTTGTTAGGAAATGGGAGGGGGAAATATTATGGAGTTGCCTCAAGATTGTTTCATACGTAAATCAAAACCTGATGCACTTGGAGTGGGAAGGGAGAGAGTTTAGCCCACTTTTCTACTATGGTGTCACCCCATGTGCCTAAATTCAATTTTGATTCAGTCATGTCAAAAACAAAATAAAACCAGCAAAAATTGAAGTTTAAAGTGGGGAAATGGTACATTGTCTAATAACATTTTAGCTCTAAGTTATAGAATTTAAACTTACCACTTTAAATCTGCAAAACAATTTTTATATAAGTAAAGGCATTATTATTTGACTCGAAAAAAAAAGGAAACTGTTATTAGAACTCCAAAATAATCATCACAAGAGAGATCTGGGAGTGAATCAGCTCTTGAGTAATATTAATTGAAAATAAAGATCAACAAATCGTCATTATGAGATAGATTAGTGAGTGAATCCTTGACCAACCGCTACATCCCTTCCCTCCCTAGCATATAGAGCATAGCATAGCATGCAGTACTCCTTCATACGATATTGTCCCGAAACCAAATGATCGTCCTTGTTATGTGTGGGAAAGTATCGCGTCTAGTACGAATGCAGGTTCATTCATGGGGACATTTAATTTATTAGTTTAAATTTTATTTTTTCCTTTCAAACTTTTATGCTTGACTGATTCACCCCAAAAATAAAAACAAAAAATCTTCATTATTAAAGTGTGAGTTTTTCTCCTTCCCACACTTTCCTTGAACATATACATGCAGGGATTAAACGTGCTTTTCATCAATCATGGTGATTTCCTTTTCGGTAATAATTGTTACAGTTTTGAGTTTGACTCATCTCTTTCCAGTTTTCACTGAATTCACATGATAATTCGTATGCATATACTAGTGTCAATAATGTTAGCGTTGAATATATATAATACAAATTTATATATAAAGGTCAAAGATAAGAAAGATTAGTGCTTTGAATAAAATTAAGGAATATTGACTGAATGAATCCCGTCGTCGTGTAACCTGTGAATGAGTTGAGTGAGGGATCTTGCCACCCAGCAAAGCATCGCGGTCACCGCCCCACCACACAGCGGAAAGCGACCCCTAGCTTTCAGAGTGCCCGTCCCTCACAAAAGCAAAACATTAGTCTTCAAGTGCAAACATACGTAATAACATTTGAAATTCTGCATCCTGTAAATTCAACAATCAAAATTAATTAGAGAGGTGGTCCTTTTACGCGCCACATAGGGGTGGAGGTATGGGTGGGCAATGCTTGTGCATATATTGTATATATTTATTGGCATTAATGTTGTCAGTCACTGTCATTCTATCATAATCCTACGTGGCTACGTAAATGGCTACAAGATCAAGGAGGAGGAGACCGGAGAGAGCATAGAGGAAACGTATCCCTTCTCTTCCTTAAGTGATACTGGACAGGACACTGGTAGGGCTGACTGGCCTGCTCCTCTCATCGCATAATTAAAAGACGCTTGGCCCACCAAACCATAATTAAAACTTAAATTACTGACACTAAACAAACACAATGGTGTGGAGTGGAGGAGGAGGCATGCATGCCATGATGATCACTGTAATGGATAAGATTAACTCTCACAATCAGCATCATTCATTTTTACACAACAAATTAAGAGAATCAAGGGATAAGATTAACGTTGCAGAAGAGAAGAGAAGGATGTTCAAACTTGAAGAGGTACAGTTGATGGAGATGGAGTTGGCCATCATTTTAATCAGCTCTGCATCTCTGACCATTCTAATCCCCTTTTTGAGTATTTGACCCACCTCAAATCAAATGATGTGTTTAGATCAGCTCTTCTTTGCTAGCTTCCT